GGTGGTAGACCCTCGACCCCCCTTGCTTCAGGGGAGGAACCCTTAATACTCTGTCATATACACATATCTTGTGAGCTCAATTTTCATGCAGAGCTCTATTGGATCTAAACTGTATTACGTGATTGTATATTTCTTTTTTTTGTTTATAGCAGTATCCTTAGATCGTTGGTCATACATAAATTTAACTTTGCGTTGTTTTGCTGACTTTAGAAGGCAAGGGGTGCATGTTGTACTATCTTTAATTGTGGGCCTCATCTTAAGCTGATCATCTAGGAGACACCCGCTGAACGTGTATAGCAAACTTTTGGAAACTTAATAAATACTATATTATTTATAGTTGAAATTCTGAAGCTGCTGCAATTAGTTTAACTTGAGGCATTGCTCACATTTGTCAGAACATTAGGAAAACCATTAATAGCATAATTGAGATGTTTATACCTTCTATTTGAAGAAACAGTACAACGATGATGTCATATAAATCATGGTTAAGTTTGAAGCAGAAAGCAAAAACACGTTTGGCTTTGATACTTAGACATTAGTATGCCTTTACCGAGCTTCTTGCCTTAATATAGGGACTGCTTTTAGAACCATTTGGTTGTGACAATTGTTGAGTTGCTATGTAGAATGTGATGAGCTGCTACAATGCTGTCAGAATATTTATAGACACTGTATCATTTATAATGTTAAATAGAAAATAAGTCGTTTATTAGTTTCCTCTAGGAGAATTCATTCAAATGAAAGATCGCTCATGAGTTTATTATAAAGTATCCTTTATTGTGACCAAATCTATATATAAGCCAAGCATTCGGAGTGAAATAGGTAAAAGAGAGTCTCTCTCAGTCCACAGAGAATCTTTTGGGCCAATTTCCATTCTGAACACTAAATATACTTATTGTACCTCTGTGTTGGTGACATGATCTTCTCGTCCTTGTAGGTCCATATCCATTAAACCTTCTGACTATTTTGGAGTGAATTAGTGTACATACCAATTCCCATCATACTTAATATTACTAATTAATTATCATTGTAGAAATATTGTTTGAATTAGCTTTTAATTTTGGTGAGTTTACGCAAGAGTCATAACATAACATAACAGTCAGAACATGTTATGTAAGGGAATTAGGAGTTCATCTCTTTAAAGATCTCTTTAAATAATCCCTTTAAATTACGAATGCTTCTAATAAAGACAAACTAAGCGTAACCTTAGTACCTGCATACATTTATAAAACCTGAATGTTTCATTCATTTCATTCATATTTTGCAGAAATATTGGGCATTTGATAATACTTTATAATTTATCCTGCAACTTGTCCTGCAATATTCCATACAGTTGGGGTTTTTTTGTTTTGTTTTTTTCAATATTAGCTTAGAAACAAAAAAAGAGATAAGTTCAATAGAGGCAATTTTACAAAAATAAATAAATAAAAAGAAACATAGCATAGTGAGGGTTTTTGGGTGTTGTAGTTTAACTGATAGTTTCTGAACTACAAGTACCAGAACCCCCGAGCCATGACAAGGTGCAGTAGTAATTCTGAAGTAAAACAGGAAACTTTGCAGCATGAGAGGGAGGGTGGGTGGGTGTGTGTGGCAAAAAATTATTATTATTATTTTTTATTTTTATTTTAATCAAGACGATTTATTAAATAGCCACACTGGACTACTATTGATATGCTACACATTGGCCCTTTAATGGTTTCTATTGTTTTGAAAACAGATGAAATCCAATAATATATGTATCACTTATAGTAGTTTTTTCATTGATTGTATAACCACTGCTTGATGTAATGTATTCCGTCTACAAACATGCAGGTATAGAAACAAGCTTTCTGGACATGCAAGCTAATATTTGGCATAAAAAAAGCCAGGACAGCAAAGAATGATCTATTATCTGTGCATGCATTAATCTGGATATGAAATGTTCTTAAAATACTGAAAATGTTAGTAATGCATGCTGGTGTGATGATTTATTTCTATTAGTCTAGCTACAAATGTTTATTATAAAACAACATGCAATTTATTAACTGAACCTTTAAAATGGTGTGTTTTCCTATCTGTTTTGTCTACACGTTAGTTTCTTGTTAGTTGTCTCCATGTCCAGTAAATCCCAATTGTTCAGTTACTTCATCTCTCATTAATTTTCCCTCTCCAGACCTTTGTAAAATTCCATATTTTTGATCAAATAAATTTTTTGCAGCACATTCTAAATGCAACCTGTAAAGTCTTATATAAACAAATTAACAGTTACCAAGTCCCCTTTAATACGGGAAAAATGTCCATAACATTCCAATTCAACCATTTATGTTTGAATCACATTTTCATTTTCATTAAATATATATATAACAAAAATCTATTTATGGCAGGGATGTTGAACTGCACGCTAGACTTCTTTTTGGACGACAACTTCCAGGCTACGACTGGCATAGAAAGGAAAAAAGAAAACAAGGTTGCGCCTAGTAGTACAGCTGGCATAGACTTATCTGAGTTTTTATGGTATTCCTGACCACACTACACCCAGTTACACTGTATCAAACCACACTATACCCAGATACACTATGTCCGACCACACTATACCCATATACACTATGTCCGACCACACTACACCCAGTTACACTGTATCCAACCACACTATACCCAGATACACTATGTCCGACCACACTACACCCAGATACACTGTATCCAACCACACTATAGCCAGATACACTATGTCTGACCACACTACACCCAGTTACACTGTATCAAACCACACTATACCCAGATACACTATGTCCGACCACACTATACCCAGATACAGTATGTCCGACCACACTACACCCAGGTACACTGTATCCAACCACACTATACCCAGATACACTATGTCCGACCACAGTACACCCAGATACACTATGTCCGACCACACTACACCCAGATACACTGTATCCAACCACACTATAGCCAGATACACTATGTCTGACCACACTACACCCAGTTACACTGTATCAAACCACACTATACCCAGATACACTATGTCCGACCACACTACACCCAGATACACTATGTCCGACCACACTACACCCAGATACACTATGTTCGACCACACTACACCCAGGTACACTGTATCCAACCACACTATGCCCAGATACACTATGTCCGACCACACTACACCCAGTTACACTGTATCCAACCACACTATACCCAGATACACTATGTCCGACCACACTACACCCAGATACACTATGTCCGACCACATTTTCCAGTTACACTGTATCAAACCACACTATACCCAGATACACGATGTCCGACCACACTACACCCAAATACACTGTATTCGACCACACTATAACCAGTTACACTGTATCTGACTATACCATACCAGATACACTATGTCTGACCACACTACACCCAAATATACTGTATCCGACCACACTATACCCAGTTACACTGTATCTGACCATACCATACCCAGATACACTATGTCCAATCACACTATACCCAAATACACTATACCCAAATACACTGTATCCGACCACACTATACCCAGTTACACTGTATCCGACCACACTATACCCAGTTACACTGCATCTGACCACACTATACCCAAATACACTGTATCTGACCACACTATACCCAGTTACATTGTATCCAACCACACTGTACCACAATACACTATGTCCAGCCACACTATACCCAGTTGCACTGTAAACGACCACAATATACCCAAATACACTATGTCCAATCACACTATACTCAGTTACATTGTATTCAAGCACACTATGCCCAGTTACACTGTATCTGACCCCACTAAACCAAAATACACAATGGCCAACCACACTATACCCAAATACACTGTATTCAACCCCGCTATTCCCAGTTATGCTGTATCTGACCATACCTGTAACGGACCGTTTTGCACACAAGAGGTTAAAAACCGTTTAGGCGATATTCCCCTTTCAGCTGCACAGACAGCTACTGCGATCACCAATCTCCTGAACTGCAAACTACACAAATTCTCCAACTCCCGAACAGGAAACACACGAACACTGGAAACAGCCGAACAGGAAAAGCATACAATCAGCTTACACTCCTGGCAATCAGCATACAATCCAATTCCCCCCAAGAACGAGACGACACTTCGTTTGAGGGTCAAGCAGAACTGACTGTACTGGCACATACAGCCTCTTTTATTCCCAATCCACAAACATAGTACTGCCCACAGGGTTTTACAGAACAACCAATCAATCCGTACAATACACACAGACACTCCCACACAAAATCCTCCCCTCTGCCTGTGATATGATTACTGAACACAATGGGTGATATAATTATCACAGGCAGAGGAATACAGTTTTTCCACATTCATAACTTTGAAAGTATGCATCACATTCACATTTTCTGAATCAGCATACTCCAAATACAAACATATGTCAAAATCATCCAAATTGGTCCATTGGTTCAAAAGATAGATCGAAGTCCTTTGTGACCAAATGAAGCATGGCTTTTCTGCCCAAAACCAGTTCCACAGAGTCTTCTATCCTGGAGATAATTGAGAAGTAATCCAATTATCTCCAAGGACAGAGGCAAAACTCCATTAAGCACATGGCAGTAAAAAGACAGTAAAATACAATAAAATACACAAGGTTACCTTTATTACATAAAATACAGACATTCTACCTATCCCCAGATAGCTTAGATCTGAGCGCACATTATTACGGATGGCGCTCAGATCACATACATACAGTTCAATCGCCATGGAGCCAAAGTCTTTCATACAGTCTTTCAGTATATGGCTGGGCTCCATGGCATAACTATCTGGGGTAGCATGGCTTTAACAGTCCGCAGAAAGGCACAAACCAGCCTTTCTGCAGGGGCCATAGGGGCCAACAGAGGCCATAGTCTAAAGGTAGCAGGCGAGCAACCAGGCTTCTCCAGTGCACAGTGGCGAGGTTGGTTCCGCCACAATACCATACCCAGATACACTATGTCCAACCACACTATAACCAAGTACACTGTATCTGACCACACTATACCCAGTTACACTGCATCTGACCACAATATACCCAATACAGTGTACAGTGTATTGGGTATATTGTGGTCAGATGCAGTGTAACTGGGTATAGTGTGGTCAGATACAGTGTATTTGGGTATAGTGTGGTCGGACATACACTATGTCTGGCCACACTATACCCAGTAACACAATGTCCGACCACACTATACCCAAATACACTACGTCCAGATACACCATGTCCGACCACACTATACCCCAATACACTATGTCCAACCGCATGATACCCAGATACACCATGTCCGATCACACTATACCCAGTTACACAGTATTCGAGCACACTGTACCCAGTTACACTGTATCTGACCACACTATACCCAAATATACTGTATCCAACCACACTATACCCAGATACACTATGTCCGAACACACTTCACCAGATACACTATGGCCGACCACACTGTACCCAGTTATACTGTCCACAACCACATTTTACCCAGATACACTATGTCCAACCACACTATACCCAAATACTCTATATCCAATCTCACTATACCCATTTGCACTGTGTCCTATACCCAAATACACTATGTCCGACCACACTACACCCAGTTACACTGTATCCAACCACACTTTACCTAGATACACTTTGGCCGACCACACTGTACCCAGCTATACTGTCCACAACCACACTTTACCCAGATACACTATGTCCAACCACACTATACCCAAATACACTGTATCCAACCACACTATAATCAGTTACACTGTATCTGACCACACTATACCAAAATACACAATGTCCGACCACACTATACCCAGTTACACTGTATCTGACCATACCATACCCAGATACACTATGACCGACCACACTATACCCAAATACACTGTATCCGACCACACTATACCCAGTTACACTGCATCTGACCACACTATACCCAAATACACTGTATCTGACCACACTATAACCAGTTACATTATATCTGACCACACTATACTCAGTTGCACTGTATCCGACTACACTATACCAAAATACACTATGTCCGATCACACTATACTCAGTTACGCTGTATTCAAGCACACTATACCCAATTACACTGTATTTGACCACACTATACCAAAATACACGATGTCCGACCACACTATACCCAAATACACTATATTCAACCACACTATACCCAGTTACACTGTATCTGATCATACCATACCCAGATACACTATGTCCGACCACACTATACCCAAATACACTGTATCTGACTACACTATACCCAGTTACATTGTATCCAACCACACTATACCAAGTTACACTATACCAAAATACACTATGTCTGGCCACACTATACCCAGTTAAACAATGTCCGACCACACTATACCCAAATACACTATGTCCAACTGCACTATACCCAGATACACCATGTCCGATCACACTATACCCAAATACACTATGTCAGAACACACTTTACCCAGTTACACTATATGCGTCCACACTATGCAATTACACTATGCTTGACCACACTATACCTGGGTACATTATATCTAACCACACTATACCAAATACACCATGTCTGACCACACTATACTCAAATTTACTCTATCTGACCACACTATACCAAGTTACTCTATGTCTGACCACACTATACCCAGACACACCATGTCTGACCATGCTATGCCCAATTACACTATGTCCAACCACACTATAACCAGTTACACTATGTCCGACCACACTGTGCCCAGTTACACTATATTCATCTGCACTTTACCCATTGACACTGTATCTGACCACACGATAACCAAATACACCATGTCCGACCACACTATGCCAGGATACACTATGTCCGAGCACACTATATTCAGATACATTATGTCAGAACACACTATACCTAGATACACTCTACCCATGCACACTATGCCCAGTTACACTATTCTTGCCCACACTATACCCACTTACACTATGCTCAACTACACTGCCCAGATACACTATATTCGACCACGCTATGCCCAGGTACCATATATTCAGCCACACTATTCCCAGTTAAACAATGCTCAACCACACTATGCCCAGATACATGATGTCCGATGTACTGGGAATTTGAGGCCATAATAGGGACTGTCCTTCCTACATAGAGACACTTGGGAGGTATAAGTTAGTGTAAGACGTATATAAACATTAACATTACCACGGTTGCCGGGCACTGTATCAGGGGCACTCAGCAGGAACATTAAATTAGTTTCCATGGATATATCTCCACTTTTAGAAGATTGCCCTAGAATTGCTCTTTAAACATAACCCCCAATGTTTCTGCAAATTAGCAAAGAAAGGTTAAGCATTAGACAATTTTAGTATGTGTAACAGATTTTTATACTCATACACTGCAAAGAATTATTCATTATTGTCACCATATTTAATGCATTTCTGCAATTAATTCATTCCCCAGCAGTGCAACACGCTGTTTGAGTGATCTTTTACTTGGCAGCAGAATGGAGGTATAAACCTAGCCATACATTATACACACAAATTAAATCAGATGTAAACTACTTAAAAGTGAAACGCCTATTAGCTTCTCCTGTGTTCATTTTCTGCAAATAGAAATATGATTAAAGGCAGAATTCTCATGTCTCTAGAGGTGACAGATCCCCACTACCTATCAATAAATATATTTTGAAAAAATGAAACGTTAGGTGGTCTGTGACCCACAACAGACATCATCCCATTGCTATTTTGAATATTTTTCTAATAAAGATTTTTCTAATAAATCTTCACTTTGTAATGCTGATTTTGGATAAGAGATTTGTGACAGATCCACATCCCTTTACCCTACTAAACACTTTTGCAAAAAACACAATTATCACTTTGAGGGTTAAGCAGGAACTGATTTACTGGGGCTAACTGCCTGGCTTTTATGAAGGTCTCCCACCTGGTGGACACTCCCCTAGGGGACCAAATGGGAGACTGGGACACAAAGGGTAAAAGGACCAATCACAGACTTACACATTTCAACCATCCCACAATGCATCACAATCCTTCCTCTCTGCCCTGGAGATAATTGGGAAGTAATCCAATTATCTCCAAAGACAGAGGCAAAACTCCATTAACCACATGGCAGAAAACAAACAGTAAAAGACATCAATCATTTTCCATTAAAGGAACTATATAGGGTCAGGAACACAAACATGTATTCTTGACCTTGTAGTGTTAAAACCTCCATCTAGTCCCCTGTGCCTCTCCCCTTGCCCCCTAAATATAGTAAAATCTTATTTATATTCAAGTCTACAGCTGCTGCCTCTGCCCCTGACCTGCCTGCTGTCTGCTGGCATTATCAGAAGTGATTCTGTGAGCCAATCATAGGATAGCTTTCCCATAGGATTTGCTGAGCCTGTCAAGGAGGCATATCAGGGGCAGAGCCATCAAAAGCCAAACACTGCCCTGGCCAATCAGCATCTCCTCATAGAGATGAATTGAATCAATAATCAATTGAATCTATGAGGAATGCAGTGTCTCCATGCAGAGGGTGGAGACACTGAATGGCAGTCACATTGTGCAGCACTGCCCCAGGAAGCACCTCTAGCAGCCATCTGAGGAGTGGCCAGTGGAGGTAATCCTAGGCTGTAATGTAAACACTGCATTTTTTCTAAAATATTGTGTTTACTGCAACAAGCCTGAAGGGAATGATTCTACTCATCAGAACAAATACAGTAAGCTGTAGTTGTTTTGGTGACTATGGTGTCCCTTTAATCATCTCTTTTTCTGGTTCCACAGATGAAATTCAGAATTACAAAACAAAACTATTTGTCCAATTCGTTATTCGTCAATATAGAATTTTTAAGTTATGGAATTCGCAAGAACTGTCAATCACCCAAAATTCAGACAGTTCGCAATGTGTTTAAAACGGAATGCACATGTCTAACGGCTATGCATCAATACACCAATTGTCAGCACAGTGTCAGAGCTGGTAAGAATGTTTCACTCTATAAAGTCCCTGTTTAAACAGAACCATCTCCTTATCTACTGAGATGGTTATTTATAGGTTGGATTACAAAGAGGTTCTTTGGATACTTCTAATAAGGGAATTAGCTAATTCTATGGTAGGTTCAGCCGGCTCTGACCTTGTACAAGTCATTTTACACCGACAGACCCTAGTTACTGTAAATATGATACTCCTAGGGTTTTACATGCAGTAATAAAACATGACCAGCTCATTTAATTAAGTGATTTATTTCAAAGATAAAATAACCAAACTGATTAAATTCTCAAGTCATTGAAAAGTGAGCTGTGATGATTTGAGAACTGAGTTGCAAAGTTTAAGGTACAATTATCAAGTTGGAAAAAATATCCAATTGGACACTGCCCCATCAACAACACAACTTGCAGTCTAGCTGATAATTCCTAGTATTTGTATATACACTTTATCACATTATCCACCTACATTCTTAAAGGAGTACAGGAAATCAGAAGAAGTTAGATTGTTCCACAAAATACATATTAAACTGTCTCTCTCGCTTTCGGGGATCTTTTTATATTTTGCAAAGACCCCTCTGATGTGACGTTCAAACTAGAGGTGTGAGGTCCAATGGAGGTTAGATATATTTATATGGAAATGTCCCCCGGAGGCGCCTCCAACTTCTGTCTTCAGCATCTGCCACTTTATCCGTTAGTGCTGTCATCTGCTGCATATGTGAGGATACAACACAGGAGCCTCCATAGACTATGTTTTGCTATCTGTGAGGTGCAGCCTGATTCCCAAAGCCATCGCTAGTGACGGCTGCGGGAATTGACAAAAACTGACAGCAGAAGCTCTGCCTTTTGTCAAGTTTCGTCAACCTTGTCTTTACGATAATCCAGAGTAGTCATTAATTTGTCTTACATATTCTTACTGAGTTGGAATTTCAGTAAAATACCAGCACACGTAATGTGAGTTTTTTTTATAAAGATTATATCTGTATGGAATATTTAAAATTTTTAGCGAGGTGAGAGAGCCCCCCTTAATATAATGAATAATAGCAATCTGTGGTTTATGTATCAATGGTCAATTTGTGTTTAAAGAGTAGGGCCTTGCTTAAACCAGTCGTTTGAAAATGCCCACCTTCTCTCCCAATGCTCTGATCTGCTTGCAT